ACTCAACGATGTACCGACTACTCACTGTACTAGTTATTTATTGAGTTAATGTATCATCATCATTTTTCTTCAAAAAAATAAAAATAAAAGGAGTGCTAAGTATTTTGTTTGAATTTTTTTTCAGATAACCAAGTAGCAAGATTTCAAGAAGCTTCAAAGAATGGGAATTTAATTCCTCTATACCGATATATATTCTCAGATCACCTAACTCCAGTGCTTGCTTACCGATGTCTGGTTAGGGAAGATGATAGAGATGCTCCAAGCTTTTTGTTTGAATCAGTTGAGCCTGGCTTGGATGCTTCCACAATTGTATGACCTTCAACTTTTGCTGTTTTTATACATGTCAAAATGCATTTTTATGTAATTTTAGTCCTTATATTTGTGTTAGGGGCGATATAGTGTTGTAGGAGCTCAACCAAGAATGGAGATCGTAGCTAAAGAGAACATGGTTACAATAATGGACCATTATGATGGTCGTCGGATGGAGGAGATTGTGGAGGATCCAATGGAGGTTCCTAGAAAAATCATGGAGGGCTGGAAACCTCAACTTATTGACGAGCTTCCAGAAGCATTTTGCGGTAAGATAAGTTGATAATTATCTCCTTGACATGTTGTGATCTTCCATTTCAATGTATATCTTAGGTCTTGTTTTGGTTTGTGGGAAGGTAACTTGTTGAAATTGCCTTGGATACATTTGTATTTATGCACTTCAAGTATTGTTCATTGTTCATGTTTCTTTACATTTTCTTTAAGTCTGGAACAAATCAAGGAGAAATTTTTTGATAGAGTCCTGTCTATATATTTCTCTGCATGTTGTAGGTGTTCTCTCTGGAGAAATTTTATACTTCAAAGAGTATAAAGTCCATGAAACATTTTTTCTTGTTGTCCTCTCTTATTTAGCCTTGAAATTATGTTGACTTTATTCTAAGGGTGATAGCATGTTGATATGCTCCTTTCTTGAATAGGTGGATGGGTAGGCTATTTCTCATATGACACAGTGCGGTATGTAGAGAAGAAAAAGCTGCCTTTCTCTGGTGCCCCACCTGATGATAGGAATCTCCCTGATGTCCATTTAGGCCTTTATGATGATGTGATTGTATTTGATCACGTGGAAAAGGTGATTGTATATTGTTTTTAAAATGATCCAGGGCCCATGTCTTCTTTTCCATATATTCTGCTTATAACTCCAAACATGGACATGTTTGTGGTGTCTTCTCTTCTTTAATTTGAGCCTTTCTTTCATTTGAATGAAATGCAATTTCTCATGGTGAAGCTTCCTTTTGCACTCTATGTTTTCTTGCAATAAGATGTAAGAACTTGTGGATCCAAGTAAATTATATTTACACTTCAATTACAGAATTCAGGGAACAAAGCATGTATGTCCATCATAAAGCATAATTAAAAGGAAGAAAACTAGCAACATGTCATGTCATTTTTTATTATAAATTTTATTGTGTCTAATTTGATAGTTTCTCTGGTGATACTTTTCTTCTTTTATTAATTTTGTAATATTCTTGACCTCAGAAAGCTTGTGTGATTCACTGGGTGCAATTAGACCGATTTTCTTCTGTCAAGGAGGCCTATGAGGATGGAATGAATCGACTGGAAAGTATCTTATCAAGAGTGCATGATATTGCTCCGTAAGTAATCCTTTTCTCACTTGTTCTGCCATGCTATATTTTCCTCTTAGGGTACAAGTTAAAGATTAAAATCTCTGGCTCAATTCTCAATTTCAGACCAAGGCTACCTGCAGGTTCAATAAAGTTGTTTACTCGTCTTTTTGGCCCTAAATTGGAGAATTCAAGCATGACGAGTGAAGAATACAAGGATGCAGTGTTACAGGCCAAGGACCATATTTTGGCTGGTGATATTTTCCAGATTGTATTAAGTCAGCGTTTTGAACGTCGGACATTCGCAGATCCTTTTGAAATTTACAGAGCTTTGAGGGTTGTCAATCCAAGTCCATACATGACATATTTACAAGTTTGCCCTCTTTCTCTTAAAACTATTTGTTTCAAGATTTTTGACAATTTTAAAATCTGACATTTGTTTGCTTTCCTTGTGATCAGGCCAGAGGATGTATACTGGTTGCTTCTAGTCCTGAAATTCTTACACGTGTGAAGAAGGTATTTCTTACTAACAATGTGATGAATAATCAGAGTTGTTTTTCTATATGTTTCTTGTTTCTCACTTGAATTTGATGTTTGTTGACAGGAGAAGATTACAAACCGACCCCTTGCTGGGACTGTTAGGAGAGGAAAGACCCCTAAAGAAGATCTAATGTTGGAAAAGGAGCTTTTGAATGATCAAAAGCAATGTGCAGAGCACATTATGCTTGTTGACTTGGGGAGGAATGACGTGGGCAAGGTTGGTTTTTGTTAATTTACATGCCCGGAATGTGTTAATGAATTTGAAAATGAATATGCAATTGTGTGAATAGTATCAAATACCACTCCTTAAATGCTCCTTTTAATGAGCCATGGCAGCAGTTTCTGAATGTTTTCTTAAAATTTTATACTTGTGCCAATAAATCAGTGCTGAAGACTGGTCCTTCATGCAGGTCTCCAAACCTGGTTCTGTGAAAGTTGAAAAGCTCATGAATATTGAACGATATTCCCATGTTATGCACATCAGCTCAACAGTATGTATCTCTTATCACATTCTATGATTGCAGGTGGCACTAAGTAGATCTACATGTTATCTTTTATATGTTTTATAGGTCATTTTGATGAATCAGCTATTCCTGCTAATGCATAAAAAATGAATTAAATGAAGTTGGTTCTAGCCAAATAAAAAAACTGGCTAGTTCTTTTCTTTGTTTTTATTGGTGACCGTCGGGATCTTTATTTCTTTTGTGAAGCCCTTTCCATTTAATTGATTCATCTTTATAGGTCACTGGAGAGTTGCTTGATAATTTAACTAGATGGGATGTGTTGCGCGCTGCACTGCCTGTTGGTACCGTCAGCGGAGCACCAAAGGTATCTATAAATCAGCTTTCCTCTGCTTATATCTGCGTCTATGTTCTTTTTGCTGATGTGTCTTCAATTCAAACTTAGATCCTGTTTGGGAGTGCAAGGTTTGCTAAAATTTATTTTTTTATTTTAAATTATTATTTTTATATTTTTAGATCGTATAAATGTATTGATGTTAAAAATATTTTTTAAAAAAAATAGTATTTTTTTAACCAAAAACACTTTGAAAAGTAAATAAAACAAAACTCTCAAGCATCATTTTAAGTTACTTAGCCCCGCATAGACTCCCATAAAAGCACTTGGTTTGACTTGAAAGGAAATTTGACTTTAAGCCTTCACGCTGGTTGATTGTTCTTTGTTCTCACTATCAACTCTGGTGGAATGTAGGTGAAAGCCATGGAATTGATCGATCAGCTGGAAGTGACCAGACGTGGGCCTTACAGTGGTGGCTTTGGAGGCATTTCATTTTCCGGTGACATGGACATCGCCCTTGCTCTTAGGACTATTGTCTTCCCCACCAGTACTCGTTATGATACAATGTATTCATACAAGGATGTGAACACTCGTCGAGAATGGGTAGCTCACCTCCAAGCTGGGGCTGGAATTGTGGCTGACAGTGATCCTGCAGACGAGCAGAGAGAGTGTGAGAACAAAGCTGCCGCACTTGCTCGTGCCATTGATCTTGCAGAGTCAGCATTTCTAAAGAAATGATTTAAAATTTGTAGCTTGTGTTGCAATATTTCTATATTCAAAGGAAATGTACTGTGTAGTATCTGTGCGAGTACTGACTTGAGTGTTTTTTTATTTTTTTGTTAAATGAGGAAACTATAATGCTGTCAGATGTACAGTCGGGACTGGAAATGATAAAGACAACAAGAATCTGATTTTTCAAAGGGGCCGGCCACTGAATAGCCCGGTTCCCGGTTTCTGCAGCTTCAACCAAATGCACCAAACTGTGTTTTTTTTTTTTTTTTTTTTTTTTTATTAACGTGGGTGTCCGGGCCAGCTTGCGCGCACCACGACTAATTCCACGGGCCCTAAAGTTAACGACCATGTAAGCCTCCAGTGGTCATTATATGAGCAATCAAGGATTCGAACATGAAACTACAGAGGGAGCAAACCCCTTAATCCCAAGCTCTTTGGGGACATGGGCCGCGTCGCTGCCATGTTCGTCAGTGTTCATCGTTAGCTTCTTGTTTCTACGGTATTTTTCCTCGCATAGGGTTAAATTGTTGATAGACCACCAATTTTATTTTTCCTAAGTTGATCAAAGGCACTGGATTTCGTCAGTTACATTAGTTTGGACGTCCTGTGGCCTGCAGATAAGATAACGTAGTAGTTTATGAGTAGGGTGGTAGTGGTTTTTTAAAATAATATTTTTTATTTAACAATATATTAAAATAATAATATTTTTATTTTTTTTAAAATTATTCTTATGTCAATGTGTTTATAAAAAAATATTAAAAAGTGAATTTTAAATAAAAAATAAAAATTTCAAAATTTATTTAACAACCGAACAATAGCTCTGTCAAGATCCCACGTCATTTAATAAATAAAGGAAAAACTCAACTGCCCATCCACTTATTTATAGGGTGTTTGTTTTAGCTTTTATGTAAGTGGCTATCAAATTGATAACATGTACGAGTGTTGTGTAATTTGTATTTTGAAATTATATTTTAAACGGTTTTTCATAAAAATTTAAAATTAATTTTTTATATTTTTAATATGCTAATATTATAAAAAAATTAAAAATTAAAAAATTATTATTTGAATATATTTATAAAAAAAAAACACTTTTAAAAATATCTATAATAACACTAATCACCCCAAAGCGAAGAGTGCATGTGGCAAAATAAAGACGGCCTTGTTGGGAAAAAAAGAAAGAAAGAAAAAAAAAGGGAAGAAGATTCATGAGACAAGTGGCTGTTTTATATATATATATATATGTTAAGAAAAAAAAAAACAGATGATGATAATTGATAAATCTTTGGCTTGTCACGCCACGCCACACCATATTCGTTTTAAGACACAAGTTGATGCTTCATTCAATTTTGACAACTACGTACCGGAAAGCTTTAAAAGATGCTTCATTCAATACTCTCTATATCTGCTCTCTGCATTCTCATGGCAATTTCTTCTTCTTAAGGTCACATATATCTCATCTCTTGTATCTTCCCTTTGGTTATATAATATTTAGATTACGTAGCTGCAATTTAATTTTATCAAGTTCCACGTAGATGGAATGACTTTCCTGTGCCTATGTGGCTATATGCTATCCGGTTATTTTTTTTGTTTGTCACTTGATTGCTGGAATCTTATCATTCAATAGCTGACCTTTTTCTATGTTTTTTCTTTGTGGAAAACAAGAATCCAACTTTGTGCTCTTGACTGTTTCGTTTTTGAAGATAAATGTTTATTGCCTGGGGGGGTATAGCATGTAATTATAATTGGTGGAAAATCTCATGACCTAGCCAATCCAATTACTAATAGTAATCTTCTTAAATCTTTTTTATTGAAAATTAGTTCATTCTTAACAGCAAAAAAAGAAGATACCGGAGGCTGTTCTTCAACCGAATCGAGTGATTCTATTGGTATACGATGATCTGGTTGCTGATAAACAGGATTGACTTGGGGCTCTGGCTCTCAATTTGATTTTTTGAAACCCGTTCTTTAGGTCCCTTTCTCCTTGCTTTTAATGGTTCATGTGTTTATGTTGTCAGTTGAAGCTATTGATTTTGACATCAACCATGTAATGTTTTGACCATCCTCGTATGTGTGCTATAAAATCGGTGTCTTGGGATAGCTAGTTGTGTTCTAATCACGTTGAATTTCGATTAGAGTGAAAGAATGGAATTTACAGAATGGTGGGTATATGCTTTTTGGTTTTTTGAGTGATTTGAGGCCGCACAAGTCAAATATTGATGAAGTGGTGGATAGACTGCAGTCCCGATTTCACCTCTCCATTCCGATTACAAATGGATTCCGTGCAATTCATGAGCCATTTTATTGTCATTGTTTGTGACAGAAGACATATGTCAACTTGTTAACGTGTTACAAAATGTGTGTTGCCTTTATCCAGAGGAGCGGGCGTGGTAGTAGCTGGTAAATTAGGATTATACTCTTTGTCTACAACTTAGCTATGGGGACCACAAAGATCTACATAGTGTAAGTTCTCCCCCTTCCTTGTTGTGCATTATCTACTACGAGTTTGGATGCTAAGTTTTCCATTTTTTCCAGGTTTTACTCCTTACATGGACATGTAGAGATTATGGCACGAGAAATCCAGCGAGGAGCTAATACAGTTCCGGGTGTTGAAGCAACACTTTGGCAGGTAAATTCTGCAGCCTTCAAATTCTCGTGTGTCTGTGTGTGTGAGTGAACGTGTTGGAGGTTGAAGATTAGACTCATAAGATATTCAACAAATTTCACTTGGTGGCATGGAACAGGTTCCTGAGACACTTTCCAACTCGATATTGAACAAGGTGAAGGCCAATCCTAAAGCAGATGATGTACCAGTTATTCTGCCAGAACAACTTTTGGAGGCTGATGGTTTTCTCTTTGGTTTTCCTTCTCGTTTTGGTGTGATGGCATCCCAATTCAAAGCCTTCTTTGATGCCACCCATGAGCTATGGGCAACCCAAGCTCTTGCTGGGAAACCTGCTGGATTCTTCTGGAGTACTGGTTTCTATGGTGGAGGCCAGGAACTTAGTGCGTGAGTCTATTCATTCTTCAGCCTCTACTCTCGGAACCTTTTTTGTTACAACTTTATAAATTTTAGCATGACTAAGCTTATGGAAGCTTAGGATTTTGAGGTAAGTTTTTCCTCACTCATTGCTGCAGGGTAAGAGGAGCAAATTAGGATTTTGTGGAATAATTGATATCATAATTGAATATGAGATGCAAAGTCAATAATTGCAAGCTTTAGATAGGTTATGTTAAAACATAGATAGGATGCTTTTAAAGATCCAGGAGGCAATGGTAAAGTTTAAGGAAAGATACAAAACTCCTTAAGGCATTGAAGGAGTTCAGGTTTTATGTAGAACATAGATGGCTAACTTATAATCAGGCTTGTAGCAATGATAGCAATAGATACCAAATCATTAAAGCATGCTGAAGTAGTCTAACGCCTTCTGAGAGATAGTGCAGGAGCTGCAAGTTCAGTTATAGACAGAAAAGGCAACTCTTATTGAGAAATGAATTGGCATGGAATAATTCGTACTCACTGCCCTCTGATATTTCTTTTAGAAACTAAAAATGGCAACTTTAATCTGTGAAAAAATGATAACCAACCAGAGTCAAATTCGCTCTTTCAGCTACAAAGAATAAAAACTCATTCTTTATAACTTTTTTTTTTTTAATCTTAATCAATTTTAACATGTTCTAAGCTTATAGATGCAATATCATTGAATGCTGAGCAATTCCTTTCCGTTGCCCCGTGTGCTTGTTTTTCCTTATCCTCTTTGTCAACATGAGAGGCATGAGAAGTAAGAAAGACCTTTGTTCTTGTTATCAAATCTTGCTGAGAGGTCGGTTTGTCCATCTCACTCTAGGAGCAGCTTTTCCATTCAACCATAAAAAAAGAGGAAAAAGGATTGTTTCCATTGAGCCCTGCAGCAAAGAAATACTGCCAAAACAGTTGACAAAATTGCGTGAATAGAATGGAGGGAAAGGAAGTTTTGGAAGTTCGCTTGTCTTCCTGCTCGGACAATTTATCCTGCACTGCTCCTCCTATCATTGTCTTGATGAATAATTAGATTTAGTATGAAACTGGCATGTTTTAGTAAATGCATGTTCTTAGTTATTGTTTTTCATTTTTTATTCCATATTCATGCGTGCATACGATGTCCTGTGATCTCCTACTTGCTGTGAAAAGCTGACCGTCACTTGATTGTTTGATCACCTCCTGTTTGCAGATTTACAGCCATAACGCAGTTAGCACACCATGGTATGCTATTTGTTCCTCTGGGGTACACCTTCGGCAGTGGCATGTTTGAGATGGGTGAAGTGAAAGGTGGGTCTTCTTATGGTGCTGGAACTTTTGCAGCAGATGGGAGCCGTCAACCCTCTGAATTAGAACTCCAACAGGCCTTTTACCAAGGGAAATATGTTTCTGAAATAACGAAGAAGCTCAAAGGTTAGCCTCCCTGAGCAAACTAGAACATCTTCAAAATGTTGTAAAAACTGATCATGATCTAAATGATCATTTCACTGAAGTTTAATGAAAGAAGACGCTTGACGCATGAGAGAAGTAAGTGTTACTTTGTTCCATCAACGTTATCTTTTCTTGAATATCTTTCTGGGAATTAAACTTTGATCTGTGAATTCATCTCACCAAGAAAATGGATATAAGGAACTGGAAGCAAAATGACATCTTGCCCCATGGTAAATGCTGCAAGTCGTAATCCGTGTGTGATATCACCGATGGTTTTAACCCCTCATATTATTGTTGATCCTCACAACTCTATTTCATACGTTTAATGTTAGAAAATTGGTTTAAAAACATGATTAATGATCACATGTGAGACCAGTTCATTTATGGGATCCATTCAATTTCGAGTTAAGAATTTTCTTGTAATATAAATATTTAACATGAGAAATTCATCTTAGTTCTCAACAACTTCTTTTGTTTAGTAACTAGAATGTTTAAAGTGTAAGGATTATGGACACCACCTATCTCCACATTGGTATGATATTGTCCACTTTGGGTTAAGCCCTCATGGATTTGCTCCTGGGTTATACCCAAAAGGCCTCATACCAATGGAGATATTTGTCCATCCTTATATACCCTTGATCCTCCCCATTTCTAACCAATGTGGGACTTTGGTCGCATACCCAACAATCCTTCCCTCGAACAAAGGACCACCGAGCCTCTCCTCAAACGATCATTTATCCATCCACTCTCTACTAACCAGGATTTTTCATTCTCTATTTCTCTCTACTTCATCGTGTTGGAGTCACAGAACACGTCCATGAAGTATCCGGAGAACACTACCTGACTTGAGAGTTTTTGCTCTTTCTAGGTCAACTCCTCTTCACCGTGTTGAGATCAGGACATGTCCATGAAGCATCCGGAGTATACCGCCTATCCAATAGAGCTGATCCATGGATTACATCATAATTTTAATTAGGGCCCACCACCTTTTGTTCGGCATTTCGAGGATTCATCCATCATGGCTAACTTAGGGGCATGGCTCTGATACCACTTGTAAGGATTATGGACACCACCTATCTCCACATTGGTATGATATTGTCCACTTTGAGCCTAAGCCCTTATGGATTTGCTCCTGGGTTATACCCAAAAGGTCTCATACCAATGGAGATATTTTTCCATCCTTATATACCCTTGATCCTCCTCATTTCTAACCAATGTGGGACTTTGGTCACATACCCAACATAAAGTCATAAACATCTATGTTCAAGTTTTAAATATTTTTTGAAAAATATCTTTTAAATTAATTAAAAAAAAGTTAGAATTAATTATGGCAGCCTTGATTTCCAATATAAATAGAGGACGGGGGCTTTCTAGAACAATTTTTTTATTTTTTTTTCTAATTTTTTGCATTTTAGTCATGGTTTTAAAATTCAGCCCGACCTGATGAGTCGGCTAAAACTCGGGTAAACCCAAATAAGACCTAAAACGTTACCGTTTTAATTTTTTATTATCAAATTTTTACAATATGAAGACAAAAAAACTTAAACTTTTCAATCTACAAAGCCATATCATGGTGAAAACAACATTATAGGTTGGTGGATGGATGCATTAGCGGTGCAAAGAGAGTTTGTTGGGTGATTGTTTGGAGAGGAGTCAAATCTTGTGGTGATGATGACGATCCGGTTTTGATTGGAACGAATATGGGTGTGAGCGTAGATTAAGGCTTTTGTGGTGAAAATTGACGCACATTTGCAAAGGATGGATTTTGAGAGTGAAGAGTGGGGAAGATTAGAGAGAAAATGGAATAAAAGGTTTGTTGTGTTTGTTGTGGAAGTGGCAGATTAGAGAGATTAAGTGGCATACATTAGTCAAGTAGGGATTTTGGGATGAAGGATAGGAGACAAAGAAAACTGGTGTTTTTGTGGCCTGGAACAAAAATAAAAAAATTGTAAAAAACAAAAAGAAATTACAATACACATTAAAAAAAAAAACTGAAATAAATGGGGGGGAATCTCACTCTCTCTTTGTGGCTTGGTTTATCAAAGCTTTCACACCAACAATATAACCACCATGTTTGGTCTAGAGTCATGTTGGCATGAAGGTTGAAAAAAAAGATGTAGAGAGCTATGGAAGCAGAATAGTGGAGTTGTATTCTGCAATAACGAATCCATTATTACAACATCATCAGCTGGATTTGATGATAGTTTTTGGTTTCATTTCAATCATTTACCTGCTTGGTAAATTACTTAATTTAGCGCTAGATGTGAACGTGGAGAGAGTTGAAGATGTGCTTATGCACAAGAGATTACTTCAGTTGGCTGAAGATCCTGCAAATCGACCAGCTTTTGCAGTTTTATCAGAGGGATAATAGCAAAAAAGTTAAAGCGAGTGGAATTTTTTTTTTATTGACTCGTGACCTGATTATTATACTGGGTCAACCACTTAACCTAGTTTAAAAACAATGATTTTAACCGATTCTTTTTCTTCTTGGTTGATTCTGGCTGCTTGTTATATCTAGCTAGAGTTACAAGATTTGGAGTTCTTTAATATAAATATTCTTATTACTTCACTATTTTTATTTTTATTTTTGTTGTCTGGACTCTTTTTTTTCCTCGCGAAGGTGCACGAGAAGTCTACACCTACTAGTTTAGTTTAGACATGAACCTACCAATAGAACCACTCTTTTCCAATGAAAATTCATATTGAGTTCAGTTGATGCAAAGAGAAAAAGGAAACGCATGCCCGTCTCTAGTTAATGACATAGCAGTGATGAGGATAACTCAAGAGAACAAGCCAATTCTCTGCTTTGATCAATCATGGAAGGCATAGGTTGATTTGCTGATGTTTTTATAGTAACCTTAAAAAGTAATCTGATTTTGGGTGGTCATCGGTATCACTGTTATTTTTAAAATGTTTTTTTAATATATTAAAATAATATTTATTTTAATTTTTAAAATTTATTTTTGATATCAATATATAAAAAATTTAATTAAAAATAAAAAAAAAATTAAGAATTACAAAATTAAAGTTCAACAGCAGCGTCAAACACCTTCTTAAAGTGTGATTAATATTATGATAGTTTTTGTGTTTTTTTTTTAGAAAAAATGTTTTTGGTTATTATATATATTTTGTGTTTTGTACTAAACTCTATATGTTATTACGATAATGAAGGTATGCTTTTCATTAATTTTTTATATAAAAATTCATTTCCCAATAGTTTTATTCAAACATATACTTTTTAAAATTATTTAAAAAAAAAAACCACAACTTATATATATAAGAACAAGATATTACAAACCATCTAGGTGGTGGCCAAGTGGTAAAAACTTGGGACTAAGAGGTTTGCTCCCTTTGTGGTCTCAGGTTCGAGTCCTTGGTTGCTCATATGATGGTCACTGAAGGCTTACATGGTCGTTAACTTCAGGGCCCGTGGAATTAGTCGTGGTGCGCGCAAGCTGGCCCGGACACCTACGTTAATCTAAAAAAAAAAAGAACAAGATATTACAAATCTAATTTATGTATTTAGAATGAAGTAACATTTTAAAATTATTTAAAAAAAAAACCACAACTTATATATATAAAAACAAGATATTACAAATTTAATTTATGTATTTAGAATGAAGTAACATTTTAAAATGATTTAAAAAAAAAACCACAACTTATATATATAAAAACAAGATATTACAAATTTAATTTATGTATTTAGAATGAGGTAACATTTTAAAAACCTAAACTCCTTTTCAGATATGCTTAAATTCTAAGCACCTTGTAATATAATTTTGCTTGTAAAAAAGAAAAGCATGCTTTTAAGACTAAAGATGTTTAAAAGACAGAGGTAATGGCTGAAAGTCTCCTTAAAGTCTGAAGGAGAAGTCCTTTCATTATATAACATAACAACAGCTATACAATCCTATATAATAGGAAAGATGAGGATACAAATAATCAAGTAATTATTTTATAGCTATACATCAACAAATATTGCAGTAATAGAAAGGAAGTGCAACATATATTATAGAGAATCATGGGATTCTCCCTCATCACCCTCTTGCAAGGTGAGCGTGGGAGAGGAAAGAACGCTAAGCTTGTTTTGAAAGAGGAAAAACTAAGGCTTGGTGACTCCTTTAGTAAGCAAATCAATGAGCTGTAGATGGGAAGCAACAAGGTCAAGTTTCAAAAGGTCAATTTTTAAAGTGTCATTAGCAACAAGTTCCTGGACAAAATGATAGTCAATTGCAATATATTTGGACCGAACGCGAGTAACTGGATTAACGACCATAAAGATTGCACTTCGATTATCACAAAGAATGTAAGGTGAAGCTTGGAATGGAACCCGAAGATCTTGAAGTAGTTGAACAAGCCATACAGCATTGACAGTGGCAATAGCTAAGGAGTGATATTCAGCTTTTGTACTTGAACAAAAGACAATGCCTTGTTTTTTAAAGGACTAAGAGATTAAATTTGCGTTAAGAAAAATAGCATAATCGGTAGTAGAGCGACGTGTATCAGGAAAACCAGCCTAGTCCACATCAAAATAAGCAATAAGATCATAAGTGGACATTTTATGAATTTGAAGTCCATGATGAACGATGCCTTTAACATAGCGCAAAATATGCTTGAGAGCATGGAAATGATATTCGGTGGGAGCATGCATAAATTGACAAATAAAATTAATAGAAAATGATAAGTATGACCTAGTGATGGTTAAGTATTGAAAAGCACCAGCTAGTAAGCAGAACAAAGTAGGGTCAGGGAACAGCTGGCCTTTGACTAATAGATGCTAACTAGCAACAAAAGGTGTGGAAATAGGTTTGGCATCAGTTACGGAAGCTCACTGTAAGAGATCAAAAGCATACTTTATTTGACTAAGAAACAAATCCTTCTCAATAGGTTGAGCTCACTGTAAGAGATCAAAAGCATACTTTGTTTAACTAAGAAACAAACCCTTCTCAATAGGTTGAACCTCCACACCAAGAAAAATAATTAAGATCACTCAAGTCTTTCATGGAGAATTATTTGGAAAGCCAAGTAATGAAGTTGTGAATCAACGAAGGACTACAGCCAGTGAGCACTATGTCATCAATATATAAGTAAACAATCTCAAGCTTGAACTAATAAACAAA